AGGGCGGGGCGCCTGCGCAAAGATCACAAAAAAGGAGGGAAAGTGAGGGAGCGGGACAAAGGGCTTAAAACCAGTGGGAAAATGAGGGAAAGGGGATGAGCGCTATTTTGCAAAATGCCTAAACTGGGAAAGAAAGATCAAGTAAACAAATAAACCTCAACACCCACTAGGATCCAGGCGTTAGGGACTGAAGAATTAGACTCAGGCCCTGTACTTAAAACAGACAGTTGAGAAAGAGCAAGTTGGAAACAGAAAAGAGCTATCAGAAAAAGTTAAAGAATCTGAAGAGTAGCAATACAAACAGGGGAGTTCGAATTAATCCGCAACTCACAATCAGCCAGAAAACTAAGTGAGGGCCCACTGACTGGCTCTAGCACAGCCATGGGCAAACTACGGCCCACAGGCCGGATCCAGCCTGTTTGAAATTGACAACGTGGGAAATGTCTATCAGAAAAGCTCATTAGAGAGTCAGGGCCCCAGGTTTTTATTAGGATTTAGTCACATAGGCACCCTCTGTCGAGAATGAATTAGTTCACACAAACACTCCATCCATGCTTTTGTTCCGGCCCTCTGGTCCAGTTTAAGAATGCATTGTGGCCCTCGAGTCAAAAAGTTTGCCTACCCCTGCAGCACCTCCAGGATGGAAGGAATAGGTGCAAAGCATTCTCTGAGTTATTCGGTTACCCAATGGGCTTCTTCTAACTTTTAAGCCTCTCAGTGAAGGCTCCTCCCCACCCCACCCCCCACCCCATAATCTCGTAAGATTAAACAAACCAGCTTCAGATACCCCACCACTAGCTGGTGCAGCAAACGTCACAGTGAACGCCACAACATCAGCCCAGCGACACGTCTCTCACTCGTTCACTTTTTGATTTGACATACAAGTAATTTGAGTTACAAGCTCCGTCACGGAACAAATTAAACTCGTAAGTCAAGGCCCCACTGTAATAGGGTTTATCCTATTATTTGTTGAATGAATACATGTTCAGAATACCTTTGTTCCCCCCCCCCCATTTAAAAATGTCTTAAGGCAGCATACATGTTATCTGACATTAGGGAATGCTTACTGAAGATGACGCCAAGAGCTTCATGTGCACACAACTACCCTATGAGACAGGTACTATTACTTTCCCATTTTGGTAGATGAGAAAACTGATGTAGTAAGAAGTTAAGAAAGTAATTTGGTAAGTGGCAGAGCTGGGGATTCAAACTCTGGTCTGAATTCAGAGACCAGGCTCATAACCACTATACTATACTGTTCTCAATTCTAATATTCTTGTTACCATCAGAAATTTATTAAAAATAGAAATAATATAAGAAACATGTGCGTGCATTCCAAAATGTGAATTCCCTTCAATTTACATCTCAGCAAAGCACTCCTTACAGTCAGCCAAAGGAGATTGCAGCTTTGAGTTCTTCTTTGAAGGGACCATACTCTCTCCAGTGACATGAATTGTATGTCCAGCTGTGGTCTGAGCTATCCCTCATATCCAGGTCTATGAGCCTTTTAGAATTATAGCCCTCTCTGAGCAAAACACTACCAGCTTTTATACAAAATTGTACTTTTGCTTCTTCAGCCCCTGCCTCCACAAGTTGATCCCACTGATTACATAAATAAACTTTGTTAAAAGGAGATTTGTTTCAATTACTTATTTTAAAAGCTCAAGAATAGATAACATTTTAAATAGCATTTGTAGAAACAACATAAGAAACACGTTTATTGAAAACATTTGCAGTTTGATTGCTTAGTTTGTTCAAAATATTTTTCTAAAACTACAACATTAAAAATCTAGTCTTCATTATCAATGTTGGCCACTTTCCTTTTTAATCACCTCTATTTGTAGTCTTTACCACATAGGCCAGTATTTGATTATACTGTTATACTTGAATTCTGATCTCTATAGAATCCTGGAATCTTCAAGTGGGAAAGATATATAGAGATCCCTTCTATAATATTTATTGTAGACAGTTGTCCAGTCTCTGCTAGAATACTTCCAGTGTAAGTATGTATCATAAGCCAGCTCATTTCACTATTGGATAAACTCTGTTAAAAATCCAAAATGTGCCTTCCTCTTCTACTCTTCCAAAAGAAACACCTGGTCTTAAAATATGAAAAGAACATTGTATTTGGAGCCAGAAAACCTTTTTTATTAATTGGGTGAAATTCACATTACTAATACAATATTACATGTCAATTATATATCAATAAAACTGGGAGGGAACAACATTGAGAACATTTTTATTTTCACTAAAAGACAGTATTGCCAGCTGGCATGGCTCAATGGTTGAGCATTGACCTATGAACCAGGAGGTCACAGTTCATTTCCCAGTCAGGGCACATGCTCAGGATGCAGACTTGATCCCAGTGTGGAGTGTGCAGGAGGAAGCTGATCAATGATTCTCTCTCATCATTGATGTTTCTATAATCTCTCCCTCTCCTTTCCTCTCTGAAATCAATACATATTTTAAAAAGAAAACACTATTAAGAGAATAAAAAGGCAAGATCCAGACAGGGAGAAGAGATTTTTAATCCAAGCATCCTACAGAACCACATATCCAGTATAAATAAAGAACTCCTAAGAACAATAAAAAGACAGGCAATTCAATTTTTTAATGGGAAAAATACCTGAAAAGTATTTCATTTAAAAGAGTATATCTAAATGATCAATAAGCATATGAAAAAGTGCAAAGCATTATTAATCATCTTGAAAATTCAACTTAAAACTGTAATACACACCCACCAGCATGTCCAAAGTTAAAAGCACTGACAATACAAGGGGCTTGGTAGCATCTCATACACTGGGTGGGTATATTAGTTTTCTATTGCTGTGTAAAAAAAACATTTCCACAAATTTAGCAGCTTAAAACACCACGCATTTACTGCCTCCAGTTTCTGCAGGTCAGGAATCCAAGCATGACTTAACTAGGTCTCAGAAGGCTGCATTCAAGGTGTCAGCCAGACTGTGTTTTTTCTTGGAACTGGACTGGGAAATAATTCACTTCCAAGCTCACTGTTTTTTGCAGAATTCACTTCCTTGCAGCTGCAGCATGGAGGGCTTCAATTTCTTGCTGGCTGTTGGCCAGAGGCCACTCTCAGCTCCTGAGGCTCTCCCGTTTCCTGCAACATGGCCCTCTCTATAGGCAGTTCCCTTGTTTCTTCCAGCCTAGCAGGAGAGAAAGAATGCCTTAGATGTAGTTTTATCAGCACAGAACATTTTGGGCTGTTATTTTCTGTGATAAAGACTGCACATATTTTTCAAAATTACAAATAGCTTATTTTTCTGATTTTAAAAAGTATATAATCATTATAAATCATTTAAACTATACACAAAAGTGTAAAGAAGTAAAAATTACCCAAAATTCAAACATTTAAAGAGTACTATCTTAACAGTGTTGAGGGCCTCCTTCTAGTCCTCTCTCTCAATGCATACATACATACTTATATTATCATTTCTGTGATATGCATGTTACTATCACATGCTCCTGCAGGGTGGCCTTGTGTGCTGATGTCAGTGTTCTCCATACCTCTAACTTTAGGTCTTCTGAATTTCCCCAGTTTTAAAAGCTATGTATCTTTATGGAGGGAAAAGAAAAGTACAAACAAAACATACACAAGAACATAAAGATACAAAAGAAGCAAAAAATGTAAACATCATCCCCATTAGCCACTACCACTGTTAATATTTCTATGTGTGTTCTTCCATTTTTTCTGTCTTTTATATAACTACATACAACCTGATTAAACTTGGCCTGACCTCCTGCCACCTTGCAGACCACGCTCCCTTACTTCCTCTCAATGATCCTGGAGAGCCAACCTCTTCCTCCATTTATCTTTCCTATTAGCTTCATGTCCTTCCCAGGTTACCAAAACAAGAAAATTCTCTTCTAACCCCTTATCACCCTCTATTTACTGCCCAATTACCTTCTATTCATAGCCTTTAAAAAATGTTTAGTAATATTTTACTTAACCCTATAGATCCAAAATAATATCATTTCAGGAGATGATCAATATAAAAAGCACTTATAATATGCTTTACATTTTATTTTTATACTAAGTTTTTGTGTATTTTACACTCACAGCCCATCTCAATTCAGACTAGTCATTAAGTGCTCCATAGCTACATATGACAAGTTGACCAATGTATGCTCTGCCCTGGTGATCCCCTGAGATCCTGCCCCACCCAAGATGCTTGCAGTGTCTTTTCCATATGAATGGCCTGTTCTGACTCAGGCTTCAGACTTTCCTAAAATCTCTCAAACAAGCAGCAGCTGGACTCAGTGTGCCCCACACCTCCTGAAAAGTGGCCACAGGCCCAGCACTAGCAGCAGCTTGCCATGGTTCACAGCTTGGCCTCTTCTGCGCACCTCCTAGCCCAGTGGTTCTCAGCCTTCTGGCTCTTTAAATACAATTCCTCATGTTGTGACCCAACCATAAAATTATTTTCATTGCTACTTCATAACTGTAATGTTGCTACTGTTATGAATTTTAATGTAAATATCTGAT